CCCCGGGGGGGGGCCCCCCCCCATAGCCGCTTGCCCGGGGACGGGTCACCCCCATAGCAAGCGCCGCGCGCCCGGGGCCGGTGCTTCCCCCTCCCCCCTGCAAGTGCCGCGCGCCCGGGGCCGACGCTCCCCGCAAGCGCTGCGCCATGTGCCCGGGGCCAGGCCAGCCCCGAGCACCTGGCGGGCGCATTCAAATGCCCCCGCGGGCACCATGTTGGGGACCACGGGTTTAAACAATATAATCGTAGCCGGGCTGGCGATGACATTTTTGGGTATAAAAAGTATAAAAATAATAAAGTGCTGTAAAAACAAAAAAAATCAGTTTTCTCCAAATTTCAGTTGTGTTGACCTACCCACCAGACATCTCTTGCATACCCCTACGGGTGCTCATACCACTGGTTGAGAAACACTGATCTAACGCACAAGAGTGGCCATAGTGTTACTGCTGTGTCTGGGTCGTTACCATAGCATGTGGTTACATTTTTGCCAAGGAATATGGGAGAATGGAGGGATGCAGTGGAAGTCTGAGTTGGGCAATACAGGACAGCAGGAGTGTGTCGTACAGGAAAACTCCAAGAAGACTCTTGAATTTGGGGCTGCCCTCCTTTCCTGAAGTGGAACAGGAAGGAGCGCTCTAAATCCTACAGAATCTCCCTACCCCCTAAAAAACCCTGTTGTAACCGAAGATACCAATATTCATTGAGGTCTCAGGAAAAACAGGCTGCTGCGTATTGGGGCATTTTGGCTCTGTGGTACATGACATGATGAGGGTTGACAGATAGTTTCACAAAAAATACCGAACATGACAGGAAAAAAAATTGTTTGAGCAAATAAACCAACAACACATCAACCAAAGTTGTTGAGCAAAAAAACCCAACAACAAACGCACGCACAACGAAATACCAGACACCCAGCAACCCTAAAGGTGATTTAGCAGGCTGGAGTAGAGAAGAGACAGCTTAGAGAGGCTTCCCTACTTTATGCCAGGTAGCTTTGCAATGTAGAGAGCTTTGTGGAATAGCAACAGCGTGGGTAGCACTCACCCCCGACAGAAGGCCCACACAGAGCCTACACGTCACCTAAATCCCACAGGGTTTATGTGGGATTAAAGTGGTGTCTGCATAGGCCCTGTATGGGCCATCTGCCCAGGGTGAATGTCCCCCTGTGAGATCTATATAAAGAGAGAAAACACGGAACATGTTAAGTCTGGGCAAATGATCTCAGGTCTAATCCAGCAAAGCATTTGAGCATGAATTGAACTTGGAGCACATGAGTAGTCCAGGAAAACAACCTGACTGGTCACGGACTTAAAGTGAAACATGCGCTTAAGTACTTTGCTGGGTTGGAGCCTTAATTGCTAGAGTTAAAACATGTCCTGCTAAATCTGCAAATAATAGAATTTAGGGCATGGCTACATGGACACACTCAAAAAAATAAAGTCAAATTAACGGAAGGTGAGCTTTAACTGTACATTGTAGTCTTCAGTTAATGCAGCTTAACGTTCCCAGAGTGTCTCAAGGTAGATATAACCTTTCAGAGCTATGATATCCTACCATGTATCAACGCTTTTGCCAGGAGTCCATTAAGTATTGGCACTGACATAATGGTGGTTCATAACACAGAACAGGCAGTCCTCAGAGCAACAACATATTTAAGCTGTAACAAAAGACAGGACTATGCAGCACTTTAAATACTAAAAAGATGGTTTATTAGGTGATGAGCTTTCATGAGCCAGACCCACTTCCTCAGATCAAATTGTGGAAGAAAATTGGCATGGCCATATATACCAAAGGGATACAATAAAAAAAAGTGAACACATAAAATAGACAAATCAGATTTTAGAACAAAATCTATTTTATATGTGTTCACTTTTTTTGATTGTATCCCTTTGGTATATATGGGCATGACAATTTTCTTCCACAATTTGATCTGAGGAAGTGGGTCTGGCCCACAAAAGCTCATCACCTAATAAACCATCTTGTTAGTCTTTAAAGTACTGCATAGTCCTGTTTTTTGTTTCAGCAAAACCAGACTAACACAGCTACATCTCTATTAATATTTAAGCTGTATCTACATTGGGAACTGAACGACAAAGCTTTTGTTGTTCAGAGGTGTTAAAATGACCTCTCCTCCCCCTCCATAAAAGACAAAAATTTTGCTGACAACAGATGCGGGAATGAACAGATTTTTGTCAGCAGGCACACTCTTCTGCCAAAAAAACTAATGCCGCTCGTGGGGAGTGGAAGTATTTTGTTGGCAAAAGAGCTGACAAATAGCAGCTACCCTGCCTAATTTTTAGCGACACAGCTTTGTCACTAAAAGCTGCCTTGTGTAGACAAAACCTAAGGGTGTGTCTAGACTACAGGGTTTTTTGAAAAAAACGTCCCCTGCGTCTAGATTGCCGCTGCGTTCTTTCAAAAGTAAATCGAAAGAACATGGCAGTTTTTTAAATCATGGAAAACCTCATTTTACGAGGAATAATGCCTTTTTTCGAAAGTGCTCTTTCAAAAAAAGGTGCTATGTGATGCAAACTGTGCTTTTTCAAAAGAGAGCATCCAGACTACCTGGGTAGTGATCCACTTTTTCAAAAGCACTGGTTGTAGTCTAGATGCTCTCTTTTGAAAGAGGCTTTTTCGAAAGAGGCTTGTAGTCGAGATATACCCATAGTGACCATTTGTCATGTAAGTTGCTGCAGGCTGTGAGGAGCCTACACAACCCAGCCCAAAGTTCTGAGAGAGGCTGCAGGGGATATTTACAGACCATATATGAGAGCATGCATCTTACAAAGTGTGTGTAATACTGTGACCCTGCTTAGTTGTAAGCAGGCAGGCTTGAACCTGAAAACGTTGGAGCTTAATGGCTAAGTCTCAAGTGCCTGAGCTAAAACACCAGCTGCTTCTAGCCACTGCTGCAGCAGGCTCACCACTTTCTCAAGCCACTATCAAAGAGTGACGAAGTGCTACGGTGGGTGGGCGTGGGATGAACATGGCTCATAAAAAGCTCCACAAAGCTAATCTGACTTGAGGTGACCCTCACTCTTATTAGTCTGACACCTCACCTGGGCATTTCCTCCTCCTCCCTCGCAGCACTTAGCCACCTTCATCATGGACAAGAGTGAAGCCATTGTGACGGTGGACGACGCCATCAGGAAACTGATGCTGCTCAATTCTAAAGAGAAGATCTGGGCCCAGGAGATGCTGCTGCAAGTGAATGACAAGTCCATCCGACTGCTAGACTGCGAGTCACAGGTAGGTCATGAACTTTCTCCTCCAGGGCAAGGTTAACAGGCTACATTCAACCGGTGCCTCTTTCCAGCTGGTTACACGTTTACACAAATACACGATTTTTAACATCCCTAATACACACACACACACACACACACACACACACACACACACACACACACACACACACACACACACACACAACAGTCCTGCCCCAAAAGGTATACAAGCTAAATAGCCAAGCCAAAGCGTGTGAGAAAAGCTTCGTTTTCTCCTGTTTAATAACAGGGAACGGAGGCACAGACACGTGTGCCCAAGGTTACCCAGGGACAGGGAGCAAGTGGCGAAGCCAAAAATAGAGCCCAGCTGTCCCAGCTCCCAGACCAGTGCTTTAACCACAACAGCATCCTTCCTCCTGGTGCCCCCCACCCACCCCCATTTGCAGGTGTTGACGCAAGCCCAACACTGCTGCAGGCAGCGCATGGCAGGAGGACGGCCTCTGTAGCGCCAGTATCAATGTGCTGTACTGCAGCCTGTGCACTGGGACCACGTCCCCGGGAAGCAACACGGGAAACTCCCTCTCCTCCTAGTTGGTCCTTCATTCCCAGGATCATTCATCCTCTCCACACTCTGGCGGGACGGCCTTCAGGCTGAGACACAGAACTGCAGGGACAGACTGCTGGGCTGCACCTGCCCGGGGAGGTCTCCTCCTCCCTGCATGAGGCATTGTAGGGGCCAGCCCGATGTTAGTTCAGCACCACTCCTGTTTGTGCAACTTGCTCCCCGTTGTGTTGCAGGAGGAGCTGGAGGACTTTCCCCTGCCCACAGTCCAGCACTGCCAAACCGTGCTGAATCAGATGCGCTACTCCTCCGTCCTCCTGCTGGTGTGCCAGGACAGCGAGCAGCACAAGCCCGACATTCACTTCTTCAACTGCGACGAGGTGGAGGTGAGCAGGGAGGGAAAGCGAGAGGGGAGAGGGGCTAGAGGGTCAAACCTTCCAGCTGCTTCGGCTTGTCAAGAGGGGAAAAACCCCACCCAGAACTGTGTGTGCAAATGAATGTGCAAGCCACCACATGCAGGAGGAGCGAATGCAGACTGGCTGCACTGACGCACAATCTGCACACACATCTCCTGGGCTGGCTTCAAGAAGGGGTGCAAAGCGGTGATTAGTGCCATTCGAAAGCAGTTTGCGTAGGACGTTGCCTTCCACTCTACCCTGTCTAATATGGTTTTCAAACTTCAGGTCACGATCCAGTTCTGGGTGGTGGAAGTCGGGCACTGGGTCTCGTTGATGAAGGGGGATCAGGTGACCAGTGGGGGAGCTAAGGCAGCTTCCTGACACCACAGACTGCGTTGCACCCTAGAAGTGGCTGGCAACAGGCCCAGCTCCTAGGTGGAGAGAAGAGCCCCGCACACTCACCCTGCCCTGAGCACTAGCTCCGCACACCCATTGCCTGGGAACCTGCTTCTAGGGTGCAGCATGGTCTGCAGTCCCAAGAGAGACAGGAATCTAACTTAGCACCCCTGCTGCACCGCTGACCAAGAGCCACTCAGTCCTCCCACTGCCCTGACACCCACCCAAAACCAGAGCCCCCTCCTATACCCCAAAGGTCTCATCCTCTGCCCCACCCGAGAGCCCCCACTCTAGTCACATTATGTTGGCTTGTGGGCATCAACAATTTTCTTCGACTGGGTCAGGAGAAAAAAAGTTTGAAAACCACTGGGCTAGGACCAGCAACATTTCACCAGTGTACGAATTACAGCAGCAGTTCTTCCCAGTGCTCCTGTTAGCTGGCAGGACTGGTGAGCATTCTGCTGGCGTTAATGGTAACGCCAGTTACTGCTACTGGAGCCCCCCTTCAGAGTCACAGTGGTGCTAAGTGGTGTAGTCCCATTCAAGTCAACTGGACCTCAAGAGAATTATGACCATACCTCTGGGATAGTAAAACTGGGGGGGGTTCCCTGCATTCCTGTCCATTCTGGCCCCGCAATCCTCCTTTCTCTTCCAGAGAGCCAGTAGGCAGCTCGGTGGCTTTGTCATCAGGCACACTGTCAGGAGAGCTGCCAGAAAGCTCTCTCCTTAGCTACACTGAGAATTCAGCCTTACCGAGACTGCAGCTGCCAGCGAGCAGCAGCAGCGCCTTCAGCGTAAACTCAGTTTACTCCCTGGCAACGCGATTTATATCCCACTTCCAGACCAAAGGGCAATTCACCAGAGGAAGTACATAACTACTCTAGGGTGCGTCTACACAGCAACACGTACCTCAAAATAAGCTACGCAATTTGAGCTACGCAAATTGCATAGCTTATTTCAAAATTTGGCACGGTCTACACAGCACTTATTTCAAAATAAATCGCTATTCTGCTTACTTTCTTACAGGAATACTGCTTACAGGAATTCGGAACAAGAAGCCCGTTATTTCAAATTCATTTTGAAATAACAGGCTTCTTGTGTAGACAGAGCATAATGTTATTTCAGAATAATGGGCATTATTCTGAAATAACTCTGCTGAGTAGACAAACCCCTAGGGGTTTGCACCCACACCAGTGGCTGAAATCCTAGGACGGGGTCAGCAACCTTTTCAAACCAAAGAGCCAAACTACATGAAATCAGAACAAGTGGTCAACAAAGAGCCATATAAGAATGCTCATTTGCATGCTTGAAAATATACAACTTAATATTATTGATAACTGACATGATGGTAAATGAAACATTGTATTCACAGATTTTATTTAATGGCACTTTTGCTGCTGCATCTTTTCGCACATTTTCTTTAAAATTTACATCATAACTGGTTCAATGCAGCTTCATGCATGCATTCAGGCTGTCGTCTGTCAATTTTATGGCAAGGGGCTGGGGATGTGGGGTTGCAGGACTCTGGATTGTGGTATATGAGGGACTCAGGGCAGGTGGATTGGGTGTATGATGTTCTCAGGATTGGAGTATGGGGGTGCAGGACTGTTATGACACTTCGGTCAGATGGGGGCCACACAAGTGAGAAGCAAGAAAAAAAAGAAGCTAAATGAGGGGCTCAGGGCAGGAGGTGTGGGTGTATAAGAGATAAGGCTACCCCTGAAGGTAGGGCGGTGGCATGAATCCTCCAGTGGCCTAATGTACCAGTTCCCAAACTTTTTGATACCAAGGACCGGCAAACCCATTCACAAACTTTTGGTGGACCGGCAACATTCTATTTGCATATTTAAATATTGATTATGTCAATATTCAATATGTAAATATATGTGAGGACAAGCTCCTTTCGCCTACACCAGCATCCTACACAGAGAGAGGCAAGGGGAATACTACACAAACTGCTAAGTGATGAGCTCACTTGTAGTGCAATGTAATGAGTACACAGCCAGTGATTTGCCCAGTTCATTCAAGCAAAGCCTTCATGAGATCACTGTTTTGTGTTTGAGGCGGAGATGGTCCACGAGGACATCGAAAGTGCTCTCGCCGATCACAAGCAGGGCAAGAAGATACGGCCGCAGACGCTCAAGTAAGTGCCACAGGTGGATAGGTTCCCAAAGTGCATGGAGGAAACAAATGCCCCCTGCTCCCATTGACGACATAGAAAACAGAACACAAAGACAGACAGGCCCACCCTGGGTCCGTGTGCATCCAGAGACAGGGATGTGAGGTTAGGGGTAAGGCCAAATCAGAGTTGGAATTGGCCGTGAAATCTTGCCCACTATCCGTGGGAGATTTTGTCCATGTCTGAATGAGAGTGGGGAAAATAGGCTCCCTTCTGGTTGGGATCTAACCCAGAAACGAGACTAAAATGGGCGGTTCAAATCCAGCAATTCAGGTTTAACACACACACACACACACACACACACACACCCTGCCATTAAAAAAAAACACTCGCAAAGGGCTTTGAATTAGATGCTCTGCTTTAGGCCCATCTATAATTAAAAGGGTAGGACAATACAGGTAAAAGGCTAGGCAAGCTGATTCAATTCCATTGGAAATTTACAGCTAATCTGAACTCCGTCCTTATTTCTCACTCACAGTTCATCTGTCACCACTGAGAACAGCCTCTCTCCATTCTCTTTGGAACCTCCCTTCAAGTAGTAGAAGGCTGCTATCAAATCCCCCCTCACTCTTCTCTTCTGCAGACTAAACAAGCCCAAATCCCACAGCCTGTCCTCATCGGTCATGTGCTTCAGCCCCCCAAGCATTTTTGTCACCTCCATTGGACTCTCTCCAATGAGTCCACAACTTTTCCATAGTGGGGGGGGGGGGGCCAGAATTGGATGCAATACTCCAGATGTGGCCTCCCCCAGTGCCAAATAAAGAGGCTCCTCAGAGGTTCCATTCAAATCCCATTTGGTAACTCTCAGAGCAATACCCTTTGGTGACTCACGAGTGACATTCTTGCTGCTGTGACACAGTAGGGGGCTCTAGTTCATTCTCTGCTCCACACGAGGAATCCCACCTAACATCATAATATTCTGCTGCATCGGGACACCAGCCAACTGCCCCCCACACCAATATCAGTCAGCCTATACTGACAGCACGGCCCCTATAGCTCAAACAGGAGGGAATTCAATGTAATCAGTTAACATCCAATGTTCTTTTACTTATAGAAATGTACCACAAATGCACATGGCAATGGGTTCTTTTAAGACATTGTTATATTGCAAACTCCAAATGCTAATTAAAATGGGAGGAGATGTGAAGAGTAGCACAGGTGCCAGCAAAGTGCTTTACACCAGATTGGTTAGCATTTCTCACACCATGGAAGCCCTAGTAAATGAAATGAAAGAGCTGCATACATCTGATGCAGGCCAGATTGACTCACACCCATTCAGGGAGGTGCTGTGTCTCCCTCTAATAGTGGCTGGGCCATAAATGAGAATGAAGGAGTGGGGTCTTTTAGCTCAAGCGGTAGAGGTTCAAGATCCAGACATATTAGGTGTGATCCTCACTGCTGATGGACTATCCAGGGGTGTGACATTGCACAAGAGTGAATTTTAGCTTAAATAAAATAGCACAGATTGAGTTTCCTTTCCCTGCTCCGGTGAACAGGAAAGGCTGCTATTGGTGGTAGGATGAATTGCTTATGGGTTCTTTCTCCTGCAGAATAAACCAAGAGAAAATAAAGCAACGACAATCTATACTCCCGCCGCCTCAAGGGCCCGCTCCTATCCCTATTCAGCATGAGACGCGAGGCTCGCCGATGAACAGCAGGAACAGGGTGGCACCCCCTCCACAGCACAACGAACCAGGTACTGGAGACCTTCTGTGGCTGTGTAATTGGGGTGTATGACTGATGCAAACAGTGACACAAGCTGACTCCCTTCCTGGACTTCTAGAACTGCCCTGAATCCATTTTAGCTCCAACAGCATCATAACACAAGAAAGCAAATATCACTTCACAGTGATGCAAAGTGGCTACTGTAGATCAATGTTCTCAATTGACGTGCCGCGGAACCCCAGGGTTCTGCAAAGTGAAAGCAAGGGTTCCATGAAGAACCCTTCTTAAAGAGACAGAGCCGTGACAGGGCCTTTTTTTTTCGCTCAACGAAACACAATGGGGGCCTTTGTTTTTTAAGGCAACTCTAGCTAACTGTGCTTGTGTACCTAGAATTTGTGGGGTGTGCTGATTGAACCATAGCAGCGCTTTGATTGGATGCAGAGGGAGCACCCGGCTCTCACAGTCAATATTGTGTTCAATCAGCATGCACCTCCTTTCATGTGCCCTTGCTTTGCGTGTGTCACTTTAGTAATACTGGTAGGAAAGAAAAAAAACTTCATGGACGGAAACTAGAGGAATCTGGAAATCTGGCGCATGGGCAACTGTAAATACAAATGTCTTGTGGGCTACAAATAAACCCCGTTGGGCTGCAGGATGCCCACCTCTCGGTTTGAGCCTTAACACCAGAGCACGCTTCCTTCAATAGTCCTAATATTTTGTTTCACTTTGATCAGAAAGGTATTTATTTTTCCTCCCAGAAAGAAGTTCCCAATTTCTTTCTTTGAAAAAGATTTGGCAAGAAAAAATGGCCAATATATTTTATGCACCTTTATTTTGACCACATGAGTTGCCAACACTATAGGGCATGTCTACACTCAGGAATTATTTCAAACTAACTCCACTCATTTTGAAATAACAAGGCGAGCATCCACACTACCAAACCTTCTATTTCGAAATAATAATTCTTGCTTGTGAAGAGGAATAAACTTATTTTTAAATAGTTATTTTGGGAATTATTTCATTTCAAAATAACCTGGTAGTGTAGACATAGCCTATAAGGTTAGCATTCTACCTGCTCTTTTGCTAGACTTAAGAAAGGCTAATGTAACGAAGCAACAATGAGAAACTCCAAATACATGGAATCATAGAAATGTAGGGCTAGAAAGGACCTTGAAGTCCGACAGTCCATCTCCCCATGTGCTGAGACAGAACTGGGTAAACCTCATCCAACCACTTCTTAAAAACCCCAGTGACAGGAATTCTACAACCTCACTTGAAAGCCTATTCCAGTGATTAGCTATCCTTAGAGTGAGAAAGCTTTTCCTAGTACCTAGCCTACCCCCTTGCTGCAGACTAAGCCAATTACTTCATACCCCACTTTTTGAGGACATGGAGAACAATTGATCACAGTTCTCTTTATAACAGCCCTCACCCCAGGCTTCTTTTCTCAAGACTAAATATACCCTTTATTTTTAACCATTCCTCAGATTTTCTAAATCTTTTATCATGTTTGTTGTTGTCCAATTTATAGAGCCCTGCAAATAAATGTATATCCACAGCTCCTTTTTGTGGATACTGATTGTGCATCTAGAACTGTGCAAATCCACAGATATCTGCCTTATATCCGTGAGTATCTGCATTTGCAGATGTGGATATCCACGGATCATTTTTGTAGATGCAGGTATAGATACCAATTTTGTGTTGTCCAAAATGGGACATAACAAGTAAAGCAGGACAATTACCTCCCATGTCTTATATGTGACACTCCTTTTCAGACATCCCAAAATATTTGCCATTTTCACAATTGCATCACATTGTTGATTCATATTCAGTCTGTGACCCACTATAACCCTCAGATCCTTTCTTCAAGGGTACTTGGCCAGTTATCCCCCATTTTGTAGCTGAGTATTTGAGTTTTCTTCCTAAATGTACTACTTTTCACTTGTCTTTATTGAATTTCATCTTGCTGAATTCAGTCCAATTTATCAAGATCCCAAGGAGAGGAAATAGTCTTTCCTAAGCATGGGTAGTAAAGGACAAACAGCTTCTTTGTAGAGAAACACTATTTTAGAATCAGCTTTGCTAGTGAAAATAATATGCAGCTTGACAGAAGATAGAAATGTGATATTTTAAGCATTTTGATGTGCACTCAATATATACTGGATTTAGTGTATCTAGTTCCTGGATTCAGAAACATTTCCAGGACATAAAGGAAAATAATGTTTATTATTTGCATTATTGCAGCACCTAGCAGCTCCAATCAATATCAGCGTCTCATTGTGGCAGATGTTGTATAAACAGTCTCTGAGGCCAGGCCTACACTAGACCAGCAGTTCGGCTTAAGGTATGCAACTCCAGCTACGTAAAATATATAGCTGGAGTTGGCTTATCTTAAGCCAACCATGGTGGCATTCCCAGAGAGGGAGGCCAATGGGAACAAACACTCCTATCTACTCCCCTTCATCCTCACAAAAAGAGGAGTACAGCCGGTCGTAAGCATGGGTTCGTAAGCACAGGTCGCGTTCGTAACTTAGGGACCGCTTTTACGACCACTTAATGGGAGGTTTGTCCATAAATGCAAACGGTCATAAATCGACCATTCGTAACTCGGGGACTGGCTGTACCAGATGCCAGTGGGGGCACCCTCTGAGCTTGATTTGACAAGTCTCAACTAGACTCGCTAAATTGAACTCTGGATCACAGCCAGGGCCAGCACACAATATTTTGGCACCTGAGGATGGGAGCTCAAATGACGCCCCCCATGCCACCTTTTCTCCTGCCTGCCTGTTATGTCTCTTGTGCCCTTCTTCCTCCAGCACAGAACTCCACCATCTCTGTGTATCTAGAGCAGAGAGAATATATATGCACCAGCAGCAGACGCAATTTTCTACACTCTGGGTCCTAGTGGCGCCCCCACCCCCCCACAGTCTGGCACCTGAGGCGGCCGCCTCAGCTCGCCTCATGGTAAGGCCAGCCCTGATCACAGCAGTGATCTTCCTTTTAGTGTAGACAAGGCCTAGAGACAGTACCTGCCCCAGAGATCTTTACAATTTAAATAGAGCAGACGGAACAAGAAATCAATACTATCTCCATTAGATGGTAATGCAATAGGTCTTTTCCAGCTTCTGTTTCAGTGATACTAAGTGATCATGATCTATGTTTACCTGCTCTCTCAGAACCAAACAGGCAAGTTACACTCTTGGATGATTTAGTTGGTACTGGTGCCTCAGCATATGCACAAAAACATAGACCTTACAAATATGGCCCCCATGAGCAGTACGTCTCCATCACGATGCTGTTACATTTTCATTTGCACAGCAATGCTATCATCACAGAGAGCACTCTGCTTAGCATTCACAAATCAAGATCTTATACGTATGAGCAAGCTGGAGCTGACAATTCACATGGCTTGATGTTGCTGTTCCATAGAAACCAAGCAGCACACGACCAGAAAATACCATCCAAGGTATAGCTTAAACAGAGGTTGCCATTCACCCTTCCAATCACCCAATCTGATCCATCTTCCATTCCAGAGAGCACAGTGATATACCCAACACATAATCTTTTATTATGCAACATTTCTCATCTAGCTGACTTCATCCTGGTAATGTGACTCCTCCCAGTTATGTCCCCTTCGCTTCTCCAGGTGTAATCCTCCACTATGGGACTGGATGAATAGCCCGTTGTGCAGATATCAGTCTTGCAATGAGCCCTGTGCAGGTGGATTAAGTCAGTGTGGGCAGCGGTCTGTTCATGTAGAGATCAGTGACATCAATGGGGCCTGAAACTGTACAGATCAGGAACTCATTACAAACTGGCCAACATGCTTCCTGGCTGACCACCATGCACAAACAGGCATGGCCCACTGTCCTAAATAGTCAACATTGGCCAGAGAGAGAAGACTTTGGAATATGTGGGCATCTGACTTCTTCTGGGACAGTCTCTTTCAATGGGACTTCATAAAATGCCAAGGAAAATTTTTCTGCCATTCATCGTGTAGTTGGCATGAAACTGGTTTTTCCTTCTCCCCCCATCTAATATTCATGATGTACCAAGTCCCATTAATAGGCTCTGAAGGGCACTTTGTGGTATTTTATCTCTGGTTCCATACATTGCTTCCTTTCTTATTTTTCTCACACAGCTCACATTAAGAAGCTTGGTATTTCCTCTCCAGCTACAAGCACAGCTGTGTCTGCACTCTCCCAGCCTACCTATACTTTCATGTTTCCATGTGGTCAGACTGGGACCATTCCATGGCTATCTGGATTACAGTCACTAGCTGTACCCACACAGTAGTCAAATGTATGTCATGTTCATAGAGGAGGACAAAACTGTGCTCCTTCTCCAAAAAGCCAAGCTCTGGCCTCTCAACTGCAGCAGGATCGTCAACAGCTGTAATTAGGATTTTATGCAACATAGGCTATGGCCAGCAGAGGGCAAGACAGTCACACTTGAACAGGTCTGCCAGTCTATCCACCCAAAGACAGTGTCATAGACCATTAGACAATACTGGGTCTAATAGGTAATAGGTCTCCCCTCAACATTGTTGTTGATTATTTGGATCTGAAATCCATTATGCATTTTAAGAGTTAAGTTTCTTGTATTTTTATAGGCAACACTTCTACATCATCATCATAAAATGGGCCAGACCAACACACCCTTAACTCTGCTCTTCCTAGTATGCTTCAAATGCTTTATGAAATTCTCTAATCTGTTAACTACATCAACAGGGCTGTTACTATTTACATTTACAGACTGTGTCCAGATAAAATGGGATAGCACAATACTTTGAATGTAGATCCTTACTTAGGCTTTGTCTCCACAATGTGGTGGACTGATGCTGCAGTGATCAATCCATTGGTGGTTGATTTATCGTGTCTGCTTAGACACAATAAATCAAGCTCCAAGTGCTCTCCTATTGACTCCAGTACTCCACCAAGATGAGAAAAGCAGTCGGAGTCGACAGGAGAGTAGCCCCCTCCGACCTTACCTGCTGAAGTTGTGTAGCATAGATTGATGGGGGTGACAGAGATTAGTGTAGACAAGTCCTGTGTCTTTTCCTCATTAACATGTATTTCAGTGCTTTCTCTAGAACATCTGTCCAAACTAGTCACTTAATCCCCTCAATTAGGAAAGATATGCAAGCAATTTTTGTGGTTCTTTGCCAAACAATCTCCCAACATTCCCAAATTGTATATTCTGGTGCACTGTCTGAGCTCCTGCAGCACTTACCTGAAAACGTAGCCATTATTCTTCTAACAAAAAGCCGACCCAGAAACTGCATATTCTGAAATATTGATTTGCCATTGACCAGTCCATCATTTGAAAGCCTTGTTTTTATTTACTCCAGGCTGAGCGTATGCAAATTAAATAGAATTACATTTTGAGAGAGCACATACACATTTGCACACAGCTCCTCTGATCTTTGTTCAAGCATGTATAATGTATCAGTCAAGGAGAAATCCAGGGACACTGGGACTAGCTTTTGCATTGATTTGTGTCTTTTATTTGCTTTTCTTCAGCCTGACCATGTATTTTTGATCTTTTGCCCATGTGACAGTAGAAGCTTCTGCTGATAGATGGCATGTATGTGTATTTCTGTCAACCCTGACCTAGCAGTGTATCTGATGGTCTCAGGTTGTACTGCTTAGAGGTGTCAATAGACTGCAAGTCAGAGCTCCAGAAGGTCAGCCTAGCACCACTGAAGTCAATGAAGCTACAGCTGAGGATCTGGCACTGTACATTGTTTACAGAAGCTAATCACTAACTGGGTGTCCTTTATAGGGATTCCTGCTCTATTTGCATTTGTAAGCTGACAACAAATCAATACACAGCGCAGGAACAGCCTGAGGCTGGCTGTAGCAGCTGGCGCCCTAGGCGGGGTGGTGCAATCGGCGCCCCTGCCTGCACGGCCATCAATGGCCGTGACATCATCACGGGGTGCCCCGTGATGTTATCATCGGGCGCCCAGGCCAGCAGCACCCTAAGCAGCTGCCTAGCTCGCCTAGGCTCATGGGCCGCGCCTGTAACAGGCATTGCAGCAGGTGTTACAACTCTGAAGGGTTTAATTAGCAACGTTAATCTCCTCCTAGCTGAATGTTCTCTGCATTCTCACAGATTGTTGTAACCTATCTTAAGGAGCATGATGCCTTTATTAGCTGTTGGGAGGGCACCCCTGATTTCATCCTTGTGATTGTGAACAGCTACCTATTTGCTTCCTTGGCAGAATTCGAACGACGTAGCTCCAGCTCCCAGGAGCATGAAGAATCCCGAGCGATCTTAGCACAGAAGATTGAAAAAGAAACGGTGGGTAGCTGGAGCTAGGCATCCGTAACAGGCAAAGAGACATGGGCAGAAAGGGAACAATTCATGGACAAACTAGGTGCAATGTAATCGTTTAAAACTGGCACCAAGCTCCTTCTCCCTCCAGAAGAGATGAGCAAGAGGGAAGACGATGCATAGATTGTGCCATTTGTAGTTGCCTTACTCCCTGAGTAGCTCTAATTTCAATGGGACTTTTCATAGAGTTAGGTACTAACTTCTTATGGAAAAGGAGTGCCCTGGTTAAGTCCAGAGATGCTATTCATGAAGTTTATTGTTTCCAGTTCCATGCAATCCCATTCACAGATGGGCACAAATGGGTGCAGCAGAAAAGCCTAAACAGAATTCTCTGCCTGGAAATCATTCTGTTGGAAAAAGCTCAGTTCCACTGTATTTCATGTCTCGGCTGCAAGGAAGTGATCCCTAAGCCTTGGGACTGAGGCTCTGGTGGAAGTTATGCTTCAGAACTTGGACACCTAAGTTTGATGCTCTTGTGTCTTGGGCTCAGCATTTTTGTCTCTTTGCTCCATTCACAGCAAATCCTGAATTGCACCCTGGACGACATTGAGGTGTTTGTGGCCCGGCTTCAGAAAGCGGCAGAGGCATTCAAACAGCTGAACCAACGGAAGAAAGGGAAGAAGAGCAAGAAGAAAGCACCTGCAGGTACAGTCCCATCAACCAGTACAATACGCAAGTGGGTAAACAATAGAGCGGAGTTAATGATTTGCCGGGGAATCAAAGCAGCCACAAATTGATGTCACCCTGAAACCTTCGAGTTCAGGTTCAAGAACATATCAATACATACTACATCATTATGCCTGCAGCTTAGCAAGCCCTGCTTCTGGGGAACCCATTCCCAGAGCACAGCAAAGGTTGCAGCATGGAGAAACCATGTTCATGTATGTGCTGCACTGCCAGGGCTCCTGAAATCCAGTGAGCCTAGCATCCCCTTGGAATTAAACCCCATGACTTTAATTTGTTTAATTTTATTTGTGCTCAAATAATTTTTCTTCCCAACCTCTTTTCAGAGGGGATGCTGACTCTTAGAGCAAAACCGCCAACGGAGGCCGAGTTCATTGACTGCTTCCAGAAAATCAAGCTGGCTCTCAATCTCCTGGTAAGACACAAATGTTTTTTGTTCATTTTCGGTGCTGCATGAAGAGTGCTGTATGCCCGTGCTGTACACCTACAGAACACAACACTTATGCAGGTACATTGGAAAACAACTGTGAGCTCTCAAAACCATCATAAAATAATGCTGAAGCACCCTGCTTTATTTCCTCCTGCTTATTTTACCGCATGGGTTGGGTGGGATATATTCTAGATGACTACATCACAGTCACTTGTTGACAAAATGCTGGTTAAGGCTTTTATGAACCATTTCTAGAGGCAGGTTTTTACAAGGTAAAAAGATGGACAGTCCAGGTGCAAAAATATTGTTACTGTTTTTGACCCAAGGTTCTACTCAAAGTTCAGCCTTGAAGGTAGTTCTGGTAGGGAGGAGAACAGAAGGATGGAGTCTGGAAACTTTGAGGCACTCATGTTTATTAAAAAGAACATACAAAGTCTGATTCCCAGAAAACAGGAAGCGACAAAGAATAGAAGACTGTGTCCTTGCTCACAGCACCAAACTTTTGGCATGTGCCTATCCCTTCCCCCCATGGTGCTCTCTCTGTTTTTCCCAGCTACGTGCTGCTTGGTAGGTTGCAGTCTCTGTCTTGCTTCTCCATCCACACATGCACATCCTTACTTGTGGCAGGACAGTACAGTTGTCTTTCAGAGCTATATTAAATGAAGGGTGGAGATCACAACAGTTTAAATGAGTTTTTAATCCAGCCCTCAAGCATCTGCACCTATTTACAGGCCTCCACCTGTGTGAGCAGCATTATCATAGCTGTGCATGCAAGTAGGCTATTAGACATCTAGATACTCCTTTGTGCACACGTCAGTATTCTTGCACATATACTTCCACTTGCTGCCTTCACAAATCTGACCAGTTCTGCAATCTTTTTACTTCTCTGTTTAGATAGGGGGCAGAAAAGAAAAGAGATTGTAAATCGGAAAAAAAAGAACCATTGTGCTTTAAAATGATTCACATCGGACACTTTACATATAGCATTGCTTTGTATAAGCTCCTAAAATACTTGCCCATGTGAAGTCCATAGATAACTGAGCACACCCATGCTTCTGTTTTGTTTCCCTTCCCCCCCAAAAAAGCTTTAACTCTTACTTTCCATTTCTCTTCTGCCCTGTTAAAAATAGTAGAGCAAAGTACTGTACTACCAAGCATGAAGATGGACCAAATACTCTTGATTCTGTTTCATTAAACACATTAAAAAAGCAGCGTGATGGCTCTGTTTGAGTTAATTCTGTCAAGTCATAGCTCTCTGACCAAGCTTGCCCAAAAGCAGCAGATTTAACAAGACTAGTTTTAAGGAAGTTATCTGCAGAGAAACCACAGACTGTAAACAAGTCTTGGGAAACAAGCAGACCAACTTCAGACATTTCTACTGCAACTGAATAATAATGCACATTCCCCCACCATGGTGTCAGAGCTGGCAACACCAGCAAACTCCACCATTCTTCTGCCTTGTGATTGTTACTCACAGGGAAGAGACCTGGGGCAGGCAAACTCTTATAGGATAACTATTTCCAAAGGCCAGATTATGAACCCCACCACAAAGCTCACATTGTGCATTCAGAGCAGCAAGTGTCTTTAAAAACTGCCATAAATAGGTGGCCAAGGATTCACCAAAAAATGCAGGAGTCTTTAGTTGACATGGCTAGATTGACCCCCAGTCCTTTCTTATTCCCTCAGCCAGCAGGGGCTGGGGAAGGATGGTGACAGAAGAGACAGGGTCAGCTGAGGCAGAATTCCTCTCCCACTTTGTGGCCTAATCTTGTAGGCAGGGGAAGAGCAAAGGTAGCTCTAAACCTCCTGATTCTGGGCTACAGAAGGTGAGGACTCAGGTTAGGAAAAATGGGGTGTAATTACATGAAGCAAAATGTAGGCTGAATAGTTAGGTTTGCCAGATGGTTTAACCAAAAATATCGAACACCCTCTGCCCCCCCCCCCCCAAAAAAAACACCATTGAGGAAAAAAAGGGGGAACAAGACCAAAGCTGTTGATCAAGAAAAAAAGACCCGACAGTTATTAAGCAAAGCAAAAAAAAAAAAAAAAAAACCACTCAACCAGCATGGCCCCTTTAAAGCCTTTGGGGTTTTTTTTTGGGCTGGTGGCCATTTTGTTTTCTTACTGTGTGTGCGCAAAACCAGGTAAGTGGGGAGGAGGAAGGATTAGGGGGTGGGAGCTGAAGGGGGGGCCTGGGAGGGATCTGGGGGCCCAGTTTCTGAGTGTGGTAGGGTTGCCAGGTGTCTGGTAGTTTCACCTCCTGTCAGGGAAAAAAAATCAGAAAATACCAGACATTTTAGGTGTTCAGTATTTTCTGGATTTTTTTTACTGGACAGGAGGCGAAAATACCAGACTGTCCAAGTTAATACCAGACACCTGGAAACCCTCGGGGCCAGACTACAAGTTCTGTGGGACTGGGAAATGATTACCAAAGGGAAAGTGATAGAAGTACCATCTCCTGAGTCATTTTAAAAAGTGGTCTCTGGACTGGAGGATATTGTCAGGAACGGTCCTGCACCAGTTCTGTGGGGGACCTTGTCTTTTCCATTGCTCTTTTTTCCTGACTCTTCAGAGAAGAATCACTATTTGCGCACACACAGCTTTTCTTTTGGACTCTGAAAGACACAATGTTGCCTCACTGGAGGAAAAATAATACCAGAAGCACAGAGATGTTCCAGTTAGAATGTAAACTCTTTTGGGCCAGAGGCAGCTGTTAGACATTTCTACAGTGCTTAGCACAGAGGGGTAGTATGTCTTCGTGTGACTGCAGTACAAATAATTAATATAAAACCAACAACATTAGACTAGAGCTGGCTGCGAGAGGGTTTTCCCATAAAATATTTGTTCCCATCTAAAAAAAGGGGGGAGGGAGAGTCATGTTAGCCACACTTCATTTTTAATCAAACTTTCTGTTTTGATAAATGTGGTGTTTTTTTGGCAAAATAAAGTCCATTTAATGGAAAGCCTTTTTCTGTTGAAAAACATATTTTAGTGGAAGATTTACAACCAGTCTCTTTGGAAAGTTAATATGGTGACTTTAGAACTTTGTCCTAGATAAAACACAGCTGTTGCATGCTATAATTGGAGGGTGGGCACGTTATTAATACATTCACACCTGGCCATATGAAAGTTTGAAGTGTATATGTAGAGACGCCAGAGCATTGATCTAAATTTCCTTTTAAATAGCTCTTGCCTCAGCCAAGAGCAGCAGTTTTGCAGATATTTTGGTGGTGCCCAGAATGTCCAGAGCTTGCAGCCCTCCCCCATTCAAACTCCCTACCACCACCTCTGGGAGGGAGTTTCAGAGCAGGAGAGGTGAGGAGTGGGACTCCAGGGGAGCTAGGCTCTGGGATGGAGTCTGGGTGCTGATTGTGGCTTGGAGTGGGGGGGTGGAGGTCCTGGGTGCAGGCTTGGGAGTGAGTTTGGGGTCTGGACAGAGGGGTCGGGGGAGAGGGTGCCGGCTCTGGCGGAGCTGTGGGACATGCTGGACAGTGCACAAGGCAGCAGGGGCTGCAGGGCTTGCAGGGGACAGGGAGTGCAGGCTGGTGGCAAATTTTGGTGGAGCCTGGCCCCAGGCCAGGACGCTGGGGCATCATGGATCCATGTAACTCATCACTTATGGCCTCAGCATAAATCCATAAAGCCATGGTTTACTCTCCGCTTTTGTATGGGATAATTATGTTATCAATGTGATTAAAAAAAACCAACAGAATAGCTATGCCAGTACACAGGGCCATCCCTGGAGATGAGTGGGGCCCAGGACATATCAGCCACAGCTGGCTTGGGGACCCCACTCTGCATTAGCAGTTGGGCCAGAAATGACAGATTCATCTTCCAGAAATGACCGCACTGGCCAATCACACCGGCTGTCGGGGGCTCCCCAAAACATGGGGGCCAGAGCAGTCACCCCGATACACCGTATCCAAGGGACGGCTCCGATGGTACAACTCACAGGATGGCTGTAGTTATACCAGCATAAAGGTGCTGTCACATCAGGACAACTCTGCTTATCTTATCCACGTGTCCCACCCAAGACACCCTCTCATGCCCCCAGGATCTGAGCTCTTCAGTCATCTAGTGTCTCTCACCCTTCTGACAGGGTGAATACCTAGACTGTGAATTCCCCAAGCAAGTCAGACTGCTAATGAGAGCTTGCATCTGTACTTTGCTTTATTCTTGGAGGCAATAAACACTTGTTTTCCACAGTTGTACACTATGACACAGCTCTTTCTAAGCAAGCCCATTTAGTCTTGAGGTGAAAGCATTACAGAGAAAACATATCATAAACAATACAAAGCTATGTATATGCTAATAAACTTACCAGAGATCTCCTCCAATTCCAGCAAAGGCTTTGGCAGGTCGTCTTTCAAACTCCACATAGGAGTTTTTCCTGTGGCTACAAGTTCATAACAGAAAAATACACATATGCACAGGTTTGCCTTTCCTGTACATAGCGCAAATCTTTGATCTTCAGAACCTGTGAATAACTAATCAGTCAGAGCGCGTCTACACTGCACCCATAGCTCAAAATAAGCTATGCAATTTGAGCTTGTTTTGAGTCAATTTTGAAAGAGCTTATTTTGAAATCTGGCACTGTCTACGCAGCACTTATTTTGAAATAAAGTGCTATTCTGAAACATTCCTTACTCCTTGTGGAATAAGGCTTACAAGGACGTCGGAATAGCGGGCCTGTTATATTTTAAAATAACAGGTGTGCTCAAAACACGTGGAATAGCTATTTCAGGATATCTCCAGTATACCAAAATAGTGCTGAAGTGTAAACATAACCTCAAATAATGACTCTCTTTCCTCAGGGACTAGCTTGAAAGGGTAAGTCTGGAAGTGGGAATTTTCATTCACCTCCTTCTAAGTGATTCCTGGGAAACCAACCTAACTTTGTTTGTCCAACTTTGTTGCCTTCTTGTCTGACACATTGTTTAAAATAGTCCTTGGACGCTCATAACACTTCTCAGAGTTTATACTGGCCATGTCTGCCTCCCAGAGAAGTTGCATACAATTCCACATCCAGATATAAGTGGTATGATACAATGGATTTCAAATCTATTGTAATTCAATAAGATCCCTCAAAGAGATATCAGTCACAGCTGCCTTAAGCTGATATAGCTTATTCCTCTTCCCATCTGGGGATAGTTATACTGATATAAAAACGCCTTTATGCCAGTAAAACTTTGTCCATGCTGGGGGTGTATACCACTTTAACTATACTGGCATGGCTTAGAGAAGCTCTTTGTTTATAGACACAAACTACTGCCCTGAAGGAACGTAAAGGGGAAGTAGCAATGAAAATATTAATACATTAAACCAGCCCCAACAGGAACACAGCATTTGCAGAAGCCGGGTTGTGTAACTGCACATCCTTACGAGGCATCACTTCACTTAGGTTCACTCATCTATACATCAGTTATTTTTAACATTTTTAATATTAAAGTGCAGAAGGAAAAAAACCCACCATCAGCGAATGTAGCACTTCCCCAACATTAATCCATCTGTAACACCGACAGGTGGAACTGAACCTGGGACCTCTGGAGCTTAGAGTATGAGCCTCTCTACAGCTTGAGGTAAAAGCAAGCTGGCTCTCAGCTAAGGCTGGAGAGTAAATGCATTATTTCTCTCTCTCCCTGTAAGTGGTCTGAGTGCCACTACATGAGCCAGTGAATCACACCCAGTAGGTATGTGGGTTACATATTGTCACACCACACTTGGTAATTGGGCAACTCCATTTTGCATACAGAAACATTGACACAGGGAAGTAAAGTGATTTATCCAAGACCACAGAGTTGGATTTGGTGCTAGAGCTGAATATAGCCATGCCAGGTTCCTGGGCTCAGAGGACCTCACCTGTCTCTCACAAGAGGATGCATGCATACACTGAAGTGATGTCATTGCATCTCCCACTGATTGCTGTAAAAATACACTCGATTCTTGTAATTTACTACCAGGCATTTGTTTTTCCTTTGTCACACACTGCATTTCAAAAGGCGGAGCATTTAGGCTTTAGGAGTCTGCAATCAGTGACCAGTAACAGCTCTAGACACATTGATGCAAATCCCCAAATACTGATGATGCCTTAGGCCATGTCTCTATTAACAGCTGTGCCGCTGTAGCACATATGCTTCCCACTTTGACAGAAGGGTTTTTTTAATCACTGTCGTATATCCACCTCTCCAAGAAGTGATTGCTAGGTTGTTAAAGGATTTTATTCCCTGTCAACTTAGTTGCATGTCTACAGTGGGATTTAGGTTGACTTAATGACGTCACACACAGCTTTGAATAACACAGCCAAATCTACCTCCGTTGTAGGTGTAACCCTGGCCTCAGTGAAGAATTTCCCCTGTTGATAGATAATTTGCTGAATACAATGCAAGTCAAATGCCTACATACTCATGAAGTTCTGGGGCCTTCTCACTACCCAGGAATTCATGGTCCAGATTTTCAAAAATGACCAATGCTTTTGGGTTCCCAACTCAAAATACTTTGAAAAGCTGTGATTTTTCAGAGGGCACATCCTTGGCACTTACTATAAACAGGCCTGATTATTCAGGGTCTCAAAATGGACACCAAAAGAACAAAAGAATTGTGTCACCCAAAATCATGATTTCACTTTGGCCACACTTCATGAGTACAAGCTAACAGCTTGTTTGTTTGTTTGTCAGGCTCGTAAATTAAGGAAAAATTAGGGAAAGTACCAGAGAACAGCAATCTCTCTGTACCACAGAAGATAGGAGCCAAAAGCCAGCTGTGGATTAACCTGGGATTCTTCTCTCTTTTCAGGCCAAACTGAAAAAGCACATCCAGAACCCGAGTGCTTCAGAACTAGTGCATTTCCTGTTTGGGCCACTAGAACTGGTAACCCTTTAAATACAATTCTTACTCTTACCCAAGTGCCTGTATATAAAGCAGCACCAGTAGAGCATGAGAGACAGACAGAAAGACACTGCACATGATCCAACTATGGGCAGATGCATCAGTGTTAGGGGTGAAAGTGCAAGGTAAAAGCAGCACAGGGAGCATGGAACCAGATTGTGCATTAGCGATTGCCATTGTAGCAATGCCAGTCGTGGGCAGGTAGCTCCCCATATTATCCCAAAATATTACCAGGTGCAGATGTAATCCACTATTTGATGCATGTTGTGTGCTCCTCTCTGTGCCTGATCCACAATCTAGGGTAGCTCCTACACCATAGAGGCTTGTGGTCCACATCCATGGCTCAGTCCCTGATCATGGGGAAGATGGCAGCCACTGCAGAAAGCCAGAGATGTGGAGTACCTAGTCAAGCACCTCACTTGCTAGATTAGGAAAGCATTGAAACCCCTTTTCCTCAGAGACACTCACCTCCTGCCTCTATTTTTAGCTTATGCACTTGCAGGGAGCATACAGGGAATCAGACTGCTGTGCCAAAATGCACAAAGAATTCACAACCAAACCTGGAAACAGCATAACATTCATCTGGGTTTGGGTTTAATTACAAACTTGGTCTTGGCTCATCAAACTATTCACTAGGGTTGTGAGCCTTTTCAGACTCAGGGCCTTCAGTAGTGAGAAGAAAATCTGTTTCCAACATGGAGCGGCTCTGGGGTGCAATTTCAAGCAAATATCACTCAGTGTTTGAAACACCCTGCAAGATTCTCAATTTCAACAAGAAGCCCAGAGGATTTGATTTTCAGTTTGAGATTGTGGCATTGGTTCATGGGGTGAAAGTTTGTAACCGGCATTGTGTATGTGTGTGACCTAGATTATCCAGAGCTGTGGAGGCCCTGAACTTGCAAGGTCGATCCTCAGCCCGCTTCTCTCTAAAGACACCACAGAGTTCCTGAAAGGACACCTGACACCGAAAGAGATGACGCTTTGGGAGACCCTGGGAGAGACGTGGACCAGATCCAGGTGAGAGTTAGGCTGAGGCAAAGGGCCGCCAATCAGCAGCTGTCCAAGTTCTAAGAACAATTCAATGTAGTGTTTCACTTCTATGGCCTGTTCAGAGGGGTTGAGTGTGAAAGTGGGATTTTGTACAATTGGTTGAAAAACTAGAGGCCTGATTAACTGTTGCCCTGTACCTGGGTGGCTATTTACACAATGTCACCAGGAGCAGGGCAGTGGGGACTTGGGTCCTAGAAAGTATCATTTGAGTATCTCACTTTGCCTCCGTTTTTCCCTCCCATGTTCTAAGAGCGGAATGGCCTAGAGAGTTTGTTGTTCCTCCCTACATCCCAAAGTTCCGCAACGGGTGGGAGCCGCCCCAGGAAATCTTCCGCGGAGCCCCATGGGAAATAGACATTGGACATTTACAAGAAGAGGTAGGTCTCACGCATTGAGTCATTTTTCTTTTCTAACCCAGGACTCAGCCAGCAGGCCAGATCCTCTTCTGAAGCCTGTAGAGCTGCGCCCAGTCTGGTCCTGTATTTCAAAGCTGACCTCAGGGACAAATGCCTGGTTCACAGCTGGATCCTTGCTGTTTGTCAGCAGAGTCAAGCTAGGCACCCCATTACTGTTTTGAAATGCTACTGAATTCAGTGGAGTTACAGCTGGTGGAGCAGAGAATCAGATGCAGAGTGTCAGTGGCTCGGTTGGGTTAGCACCCGAGTTCCCAGCTCTCTGTTGCCAGTATTAAATCTCAGGGCTGTGTCTAGACTGGCCACCTTTTCCGGAAAAGCAGCCGCTTTTGTGGAAAAACTTGCCAGCTGTCTACACTGGCCGCTTGAATTTCTGCAAAAGCACTGACGATCTCATGTAAGATTGTCAGTGCTTTTGCGGTAATACTATGCTGCTCCCGTTCGGGCAAAAGTCTTTTTCCGAAAAACTTTTGCACAAAAGGGCCAGTGTAGACAGCAGAGATTTCTTTTCCGCCAAAAAGCCCTGATCGCGAAAATGGCGATCGGGGCTTTTTTGCGGAAATGCACATCTAGATTGGCCACGGACGCTTTTCCGCAAAAAGTGCTTTTGCGGAAAAGCGTCCTGCCAATCTAGATGCGCTTTTCCGAAAATGCTTTTAACGGAAAATTTTTCCATTAAAAGCATTTCCAGAAAATCATGCCAGTGTAGACGTAGCCCTGGGGTATGTCTACACTGCAAAACCACACTCCCAACCCCAAAACTTGCCTCAGTGAGACTCATAGACCAGCTCTGCAGATTCAGACTCATGCTCTGGCACCAACTAAAGCAGAGAAGATGTTCCCACTTGGGCTCAGAAATCCCTCTCCCCCTTGTGGAGTTTCAAAACCCAAGCAGGGACAGCTGCATGGCTAATTGTATGGCTCTAGTGCAAGCCCAAGTATGTACACTTGGGATCCAAGACCCACTGCACTGGGTGTTTTTTCAGTGCAGGCTAGGGATGTAAAATCCCATTTAATTGGTTTAACCGATTAAAGGGGGCATGGGCGGGGAGGCTGAAGCAGCTCCCCTGCCACAGGCAGAGGCTGCTCCTGCCTGTGAGGCACCCGGGACTGGATTCTGGAGCAGCCTCTGCCTGCAGGGCACCCAAGCCTTCCGTGGACAGGGGCTGCTTCAGACAGCCAAAGCAGCCTTTGTCCATGGTGGGCACCTTCTACGGGGCTGAAGCAGCCCCCTGCTTATGGTGGGTGAGGAGCTGCTCCAGCCCCCACTGGTTAACAGTTAACTTTTCACATTCCTGGTGTAGACTTACCCATAGTGTATTCACTGTGCAGAGAAGAGGCCAGCCATAGTGCAGTCTGTTGGCTTGGCTGATTGTTCTCACCCTGTAACTCTCTTAACAACTTATTCTTGGTTCATCCTGAAAGTAACAGACTCTGGCTAGAGAACATTGGATTGCCTGTCTACCATTAGTCTGGCAATCGTATCCTGGAGCTGTCAGTAGCAGAGAGATTTTAATCCATTTACCGTCTATAGAACCCTGGTTTCTGCAGCTGTACCCAAAGAATCAAACCATACTTCACGGCCAATACAGATAGTCCCCAATTTACGAACGAGTTACGTTCTTACATACTTACGAACGAGTTACCAAACACTTGGTCATAACTCGATCTGTTCGTAAGTCGCACCCCATTCATTTAAATGTGACCGTGCTGATCGTAAGTGCAGATTGCGTTCGTAACTCAGGGACCGGCTGTAATGCGCTTAATGGGAGGTTGGTCATAAGTCGATGTGTTCGTAACTCGGCGACCACCTGAAGAGCCATCAGGTGCTTCCCAAATATACAAAATGGTAGTTGACCTAATTGTGCTACAATGGAGTTTGTGATGGAATCTAAAACACAGGAAATAGGTCGATCAAGAGCTGGATTCATTCTTACTAATCTGAATAAATTACAGAATCTCAAAATATATTCATGGATTTTTAAGGCCAGAAGGGATTGCTCTGATAAGCTAGTGTGACCAGTGTAACACAGGCCTTAGTATTTCACCCAGGGGAAGGAATTATTCACCCTGCGAAGTAAGCGAACCACAAACAAGTAAAGTAACTAGTGTTTCATCTACTACAGCATTTCTTTTTGAAAAACATCCAAACTTGATTTGAAGACTCTGGGCAATGATAAATCTATAACTGCCACCTTCCTGTATCTGATGCAGATTTACTCTCTCAGTAACACTCTGACTCCATTTTACCTTTCCAGCTCTCATCGGCCAATGGATATCCGTATCGTAATTCATCGCTGAAACGTGACCAGACTCCTGATCAAACACAAGCAGTGGATGCCTTTAAACAAGGTGTTACTCAGCATGTAAATAGGTAATCTACCAGTGCCTAGCAAAATGAAGCCTTCGAGCATTATCTCAATAAAAGAAATAAATACTAAGATACTTGTCCCCCACTTTTGACATCTATTTGTTATAATTAAGTCATGCTAGTTGTCTACATCCACAGATGTCAAAACACCAAATTATTATTCATGCACATACTGCCTGCTTCAAAAGCATTTTAATCAGCATGTATGTGCGGAAAGAGGTTACACCCAATTTGTATTTCATCTTTTTAGCGGAAGAATTAGCAGATGATTTTGTCAGTCAATAGGCTTTTATTTCAAACCATAATGCTGACATTAAGATGATGGTGGAGGTTTTCTTTCCTCCTATATTAGCCTGTGTTTGGGATATTCTGTTGCAATCTTTCTTTAAGAAGAACAGTTGTATGGTTAGAGATGCTAGTTTGCTCTTTTATATTCAGGCTATGTCTACACTGCACTACTCTTCCAAAAAAAAGAGGCGGAAAAAGCTACGCAAATTGTGGTTCGCAATTTGTGTAGCTTTTTCCGGAAGAGGCTTTTTCAACAGTTGGCCCATCTACACTGGGCCAAATGTCGGGGAAAAAACCCTTTTTCAGAACATTTCTTTTTCTTCGTAAAACGAGGTTTACAGGGATGCTGAAAAAACGCATCTGCTCTTCTGAAAAAAAATGTGGGAAGAGCAGATGCGTTTCCTGGACGCGGCAGAGGTATCCCAGAAAAACTCCGTAGTGTAGACATACCCACCCCCATTCACTCTTGTATTATGCATTTAGAGGAAAACACTTGTAAGAAGAGAGTACATGCTATGATCTACAGCCAGTCAAGATTTTTCTACTGAGATTTTTGTTGTTGAACTATGCAATGAATTCATGAAATGTTTTGTTTGAACTGGGAATTTTCATTTTGCTTTTTGGCAAACCAAAACAAAATTGTTTCAGATTTCCCCGTTTCATCAGCAACCTGAAACTTTCCCCCAAAATATTCTAAATGAAATGTTTTTGTTTAAAAAAATTCAACCAGGTCTATATAACAGCTAGGTATTATTATTATTATCACAAAATCTTATTCTAGTACAGGGCTACAGAACACTCAGCCTGTTTGTTTGCAGCCCGCGGTGCGGTTTGGGTTTACGCGGGGCTCAACACATGGCTTATGGGTGGGAGCCAAAACAAAAAAAATTGTCAATATAATAGTCTTCTGTTGATATGTGTTTTAGTAGTTACATTCCTGGACTGTCATTGCTCATTAAAAGGGCTGTCATATGGATGGAAATCGGGTCAATATTGCATTTTATTGATATCAGCAGAACTGACCTAAATGAGGTCCGCGTGTTGTGTAGTCTTGCCTTAATCTTTATATTCATGCCCGTTAGTGTGAAAAAAGCTATTTGCACGTATATGCAACCATACTTAAGCTGCAGTCCTCGGCATGTGCTGTGAGTATCACTGTGGCCCTCGGGGCTTCCAAAGTTGAATAGCCCTGGTCTAGTATTTGTTTTACATATAGTACAAACTGTGATTTTAAAAAACTGTTGGTCATGGAGATGAGGATGGGCCAACACCAGAACTCCAAGGCTGAACCCCCCCCAGATACAAGCTCTGGAAAAGCTCAGAGCTAAATCTGATGTAACTTCAGGATTCAGAATTTTTTTCTAGCCAGCCAAAGCAGAAAGTTTGTAATATCCAATTTCCCCTCCTCCCACGTCCCCTCTCAGATCCATGCACAGGAATCTGGGGAAGTTTAGATGCCATCAACTATGTTAGCTAGTTCCAATTAATCAGTATATCAGAATATCAGTATAGCTACCTTGCTCAGGAATGTGAGAAATCCACATGCCTAAGCAACGCAGTTATACCTACCTACCTACCCCCCACCCACACACACACCCCATCTCTTGTGGAGGTGGATTAACTATGCCAACGGGAGAAACTCTCCTGTCAGCATAAGAGCGTTTTCTCTTAAGCACCATCGTGGTGCAGTTGCACTCCAGAGTGCAAGGCACGCCCATTCCCAAGAAAAGAATGTAGCCTGCTTTGGGGCATGAAGAATTTTTTCTTACAGACATGTAGTTCTTTTATCAGTAAATTCCAAGCGGACTTTACTGTCCTTATGTTTCTCTTGCTTTACCAGCTTATCCACCTTTCAGATAGGATTATATTTAGCAGCATTCATAGGCACATAGTTAAGCACATGCTTCCAGAACACATTACAAGCACATTCTAGTTAAGCACATGCTTAAGTGCTTCCCTGAATCAGGGCCAGGGCTATGCTAGAAAAATTTTGCTGGTGTCACCTTCCTAGTGTAAACACAGCTTGTTCTGGGGAGGAAAAAAACCACATTTTATACCAATACCCTGAGCAAAATAAGCTATACAGACAAAAGCACTAGGACTTTTGCTAGTGTCAAACGTGCATGTGCACACACCATCCCCAAAGCAAAAGTTCTAGTGTGGCTGGTCTTAGTTAATGGGGGGGGCCAAAGGTTCCTCCACACTTAAAACTTCTCAAGTCCCAGCCAGGGCCGCATTATGACTTTTGTGGGCCCTAGGCACTTTTGCCTTTATGGGCCCCTTCCTCAATAAAAAGAAATATATATATTAAAAATTATTTTTTATATAACTTTAAATACTTCAACTTTTTTTTTTCTGTTTTAGGCAAAATTTAATAGATTTTCGTGGGCCCTAAAAGTTTCATTTTTTTCTGATGTGAGAAAAAAATTAAAACATTTTCTTCGACCCTAAAAGTTCATTTTTTTTCTTCTGATTTTAAAAGAAATTAAAACATTATCGTGGGCCCTAGGCACTGTGCCTAATGGATAAGTTGGCCTTGGTCCCAGCCCTTCCCTTGGTGACTCACTTTGCTTCTGGCATGCTACAAACATACAATTCAAACATTCCTCCCTCTCCCTGCCTGGAGGGAAACTGCTAGAAAAGGTAACCACTCCCTTTCCTGTCTAGTATATTTAGGCTGCCAGGGAGCTGATCCCCAACCCCAGCGAATGCTACAGACTTGCTACTGACATTCGGTACAAGGCTATAATTATTATGACAATTTAGTCTTCCTGGCTTGGGCCAGGCAATAGAGGCAACATCTCACAGCAGACCTCATAGCTGGCTCTCTGTAGGCTACTGCTCACCTAAAATGGAGCATCTATTAATGTATATTTAAGAGACAATTGTTTGCACTTGACATAGACCTTCCAGTTACTGCTTTTTGGGGTGGGGGCAGAAAAGAGGGCTGAGACATCTTAGAACAATAAAACAACAATAAAAGACACCGAGGATGTTTCCAAAAGAATAAGCTGGTTATGAGCCAATCAAAAGTTAGGATCATCAGCGTAGTTCCACAGGAAGAGAATTTGGCCTGCTCATTTTACATTCGCGATTGGACTGAAAGCCCCCAGCTATCTGTACTGCATAGCTACACAGAGCTGAAGATCCATAGAGAAAACATCTTCCTGGTTCTAATTTACACGTGGTAGCTTCCCACCCCGTTTCCCCAGGTAAGGAGCCTGCTTCTTTCTTGAGAAGTCATTCTCCCCTGTGAGAGTGGTAGCGTTTTATACACATTCACACATCTACCACCAGTGTAGGAAGGCATAAGAAAATCAGGCCCATTAAGTCTACACAGATTTATGGCATGAACAACCAACATGCTCTGGTTGGCTGGCACTGTAACTTTGTTCCAGTACAGTAAATTAGAGGGTTTTCTGTGTCTCAGTGTTTCCTTAGGCTTGGTCTACACAACATAGCCTTTAGTGATATAGCCGTGTCACTAGAAGTCAGGCAGCGTAGCTGCTGCTTGTCAGCTCTTTTGCTGATAAAATACTTCTGCCCCCAATAGGTGGCGTTTGCATTGTCAGCAGGAGAGTGCTCTCCCCAGCAATGCACTGTTCACACTGGCACCTGCTGTGGCAACATTTTGTCTCTTGGGAGAGGCCTGGTTCAATTGCCAGTGTCAACATAGCCTTAGTCCTCACCTCAACACAGAAGCTGCTAAATCAGGGGTGGGAAACCGCAGTCTCAGGGGCCGGGGTCAGCCCCCAGCTTGCCTGGATCTGGCCCTCAAGGCTCAGCACTGGGGAGCCCACGCTGGCACTTCAGCCCCCCTGCCACCTACCTGCAGGGCTGGAGCACACAAAATCTACTAAGCTGAGCCCCCCTAGGCTCTGGTGTGCCAGGGGGACGTGGGGAGTGTCCATTACCCCTCTCGGTCAGGGGCTTCTTACTTTGCTTCTCACTTGTGTGTGGCCCCCGACTGATTTTTCTGTGGGTCTGTGACCTCCAACCCAAAAAAGGTTCCCCACCCCTGTGTTAATGGGGAGCAAAGCTGTCTTTTGGTATGAGTCTGCTTACATCAACCTCACAGCTATGCACCAGTCAGTGGTTGCCAAGCCTGCACTTCACAGTTGTGCAGGACTTTTTACTGCAATGTGATCAAAACCTGTTCACTTCCTGGTCACAAGACAATGGGATTTTCTAGAGCTGTTGCCCTATTAACAATCTGCAGTCTCTTTAACTGCATGCTAACATATTTACTACACATGCCAGTTCATCCAGCACTGCCTTTATTGCCGTGGCTGTCAGAAGAGTCGTGCTTATAACCTCATTTTGTCTCTTGAAGGAATTTTGAAGCACAAGGGATGGCCCAGCCGAAGAAATATGCCAAAATTCGCTATGATTTCACTGCTCGAAATGCCAATGAACTCTCAGTGCTCAAGGATGAAGTCCTGGAGGTAAATTAATAAACTCGGGAGCAAATCTGTATAGTCCCTACTTTCTGAGAGGGGAAGAAGCTGCACTAAGAGACTGAAAAGTCCCAAAGAGTTTTCCTCTGGAAGTTCTGAATGACAACATGAAATTTCATTTGGATAATTAAGCTCTAAATCTGAGTTAGAGAAAGAAACCTGGTACAGGTTGAACCTATCTAGTCCAGCAACATCCATGGTCCGGCATGATTTAGTTAACTGGATGTCCACTTATCATGGGTTGGCCAAGTTTCCCATGGTCCCATAAAGTTTGTTTATAGCCACTAGTCCTGGTTCTCAGTGTTCTGTGCTGTTATTTAGCTCTAATTAACCACCAAATGTTTTCTAAGAGCCCAGTAAGCAGTAGAAGTGTTGGTAATGCTTCTAGACAATGTTGACCTCCCATGATTCAGCAAATTCTCTGGTTTGGCACCAATCAGGTCCTGAGGGTGCTGGACTAGAGAGGTTCTACCTGTACTTTTAAAGTATCTTAGTACATGGGCTTAGCTGAGCTTTGAGAACACAAAAATGGCAGCAAAGAAAAGCAGATCATATAATTATAATACAATTTTTGACAACATACAGAGCCCAATTTCCAAGCATAGGGCTCAGTCTTGCAACACTGAGCATTCTGGCCTGAATGCAGCAAAGCACTTAAACCCATGGGCTATGTCTACACTCGTAACTTCTTGCGCCAGAAATATGCAAATGAGGCTAAGCGTGGAATATCGCCGAGCCTCATTTGCATACCAAATGAGCCGCCATTTTGCAGAAGAGGCTCTTGCATCAGAAGGAGCTGTCTACACTGCCCCTTCTTGCGCAACAAAAACCCTCTTGCGCAATGCCGTTCTTCCTGAAAAGTAATTGGCGTAATGGCAATTGCTTTTTTTAAAATGCAAAAGCAATGAAGTGTTTCTGGACACCATGATCACTCTCATCAACTAAAGCCCTAAAAAAGCACCATGGGAATTAAGCAGGAGTTAAGAGTTCCTAAGAACACGAGATACATTTTTCCTCCAAATTGCTGTCCAAGAAGGCCACTATCATGATTGTTTTATCAATCCTTTTCAGGGATGCTTATTAATGTTGCATTTGAATGTAAAGTTCCATGAATCTGTTGCCATTTTGTTGGTTGTATTGCAAAGCTACCATAGTACTGGGTGTACCTTTTCCACTGCAAACCCATGGGAAGAGGTGAGATTTTTGTTACCTTGTACATGTCATGAATGCTTGATGGTCTCAATAGATGATTTACATTTTTCCCCTTAAAGGTGTTGGAAGATAATAAGCAATGGTGGAAGCTGCTAAACCGGAGTGGGCAGGCTGGTTATGTCCCATATAACATCCTGGATGTGGTGACACAGGAAGATTATGAACAGTTCTATAATCAGGTGATGTTTGATTGGCAACTAGATGCAGTGCCTAATCAGCCTCTGTTAATAGCCATCTTTAGTAGGCATTTAAAAAAGGGGAGGGTGACTCCTACAGACCTTTTAAGACAGTGTTTCTCAACCAGTGGTTCGAGTACCCTTAGGGGTACACGAGAGATATCTGGGGGATACCTCAACACAACTGAAATTTGGAGAAAACTGAATTTTTGTTTTAAGTTTTACAGTGCTTTATTATCTTTGTACTTTTTACACCCAAAAGTGTCATCACCCACCTAACCACGATTAAGTTGTTTCAACAAATGTGTTGCAACGGTAAAATGTGTGTGTGTGTATAAACTGTAGGTACTGGGGGTACTTATAATTTTTTTAAAGGAGTACTTTATAAAAAAAAGTTGAGAAACACTGTTTTAAGACACCCTTTCCCTAACCTCGTAGATTTTCATGAGCTGTGCTGTCCTTACAATTAAATATTATTAGGGAATTACCGGTAATGTCCTACTTAGACATCTCACAACTGGTGTAGTCATAAAGTAGTGCTCCACAATGAAGACTCAATTATGCTTTCAGAGAAAAGTCAGAGACCTCTGAAAACTGTTTCTGGGCATTTGGAGGAGATACAGCTCAACTCCCTGTTGCTAGAGGATTAAGTTTTATAGCCTGACAGAGGATTTTTCTCTTTATGTACAATCATGTAACGTCTTTTGTTTTCATATATGAGCCCTACCCCACCAGGAAAAAGCCATACTTACTTACCAAAAGCCTGAGTCATTATTGCTCTGCACTATGTTGACATTGTCTCCTGAGCAATGTGGAAGTAAAAAGCTGCCAACTCTGACGTGGTAACATTTCACAACCACTTTGCACTAGTTGAAACGCCTGTTCAAGGTGCAGGGAAATAAAGAGCCAGGCCTTTCATTTTGCAGCTAAGCCAGATAGCCCCTTCCTCTAACTTGCCATTTTGCACACCTCTAGCCTTTCATTCAAGGATCTCAAAGTAACATGGAGACATTAATGCTAGCCCTTAAACATAATGACACATGACAAAACAGGCACAAAGTCCGAAATTCTCAAAAGGCTTAGGTACCTAACTCTCATTGAAATCAGTGGGAATTAAGTGCCATTAAGGAGCTGGGTCAAAATGGTTAAGGGTCTGATTTTATGGGCGCTAACCCCCTGCAGCTCCGATTGGTTTGACCTGGAGTTGTGGGTACTCAGCACTTCTTGCAGTTCTGCTGAAGAGGTCAGTCTCCACGTCAGTAACTGATCTGGGAATAGCATCTACCTTTCCCACTTCCTAGTCCTATGGCCTAGCCATCAGGGTACATCATCCTCTGTCAAAACATCCTTATGGTCAGCTGTTTTCTTGTCTGTTATTACTCATTATCTTTTAAGTTGTATACAGTGGTAATACCTAGACAGCAACCATGTCAGGGCTCCATTTTTTCTAAGCACTGTATAAATATTTAGCAAAATGACAATCCCTGTCCCAAAGAGCTTACAAATTTGAACAAGTGGGTGACACAAACAAATAGGTCAGAGTTGACAGGAATGGGATTACAAAGATACCAGGAGACATGCAATTTTTAGCCAAATACTCACAAATTGCCATCGACCTCACCCATTTAATCCCACTTCTTACAAGTGGATGGGAGTAGAATTTCACATGCTTTCGAACTTTAAGTGTAATAATTTTTTCTATGATAATTTCGGCCAAGCCATTGAGAACTTCATGTACCGATGAAAGGCTCTTCCCAAACCAAGTTTAAAGTATGAATTATTTATCTAAAATTGGAGTGGAAAGTGACCTACAGATAGGTAGGCAGAAAATAAATTCAGTACTGTCTGCCCCAAGCATTCTAAAACCACAGTCTTTGAAGCTTGACCTATGGAGTGATGAAGTAGGCTGGAGCGGAATGAGATTGACTTAAAAACTGTGAACTATTAAAGACCTTTTCTTTGCTACATGGCTTCTGAGCCTTAGGGAGCGCTCATGTCACATACACAGGTTTTTCTATAAAGTTATAAGGACAGGAGACTAAACTTTTGTTTTAAAAAATTTATATTCTCACAAAATAATTTAACAGCTAACATGGGATTTCTTATTGCAAAGTTCATGAAAAAATCATGGGAATATTTTTTAACAAGTTCTGTGGGCAAGTTATTAAGCAATGAAATTTGGGTTATACAAGCCAGCAGTCAATGTTCCCTCTTTTTCCATATGTGAGTGGAATACATTTTGTTATGTGCACCAAGGCATGTGCAGATGAGCACCCCACCACAAAAAACCTGCTGCTAGCTGTGGGCACTCTGCTAACCAGCTGGGCAGCATTTGAATCTCTCATGGGTGGCCGTCCAAGTTTATTTTAACCAGAAGTACAAAGGAGACATGAGTCCGAGAGGTATTGACCCTACTCACAGACTTCCTGCTAGCTATGCTGGTGATAAATGGGGAAGTGAAATGTTAGCCGGGAGTTCTTCTCATGATGCCAAAGAACGTAGGGAACACTGCCAACAGTACATAATCACATTTAAGTTGGCATAATTTGGAAACACAACGTTGAGGTCTTTGTACAACCTGAGAAAACAGATGACAACAGCATGTGAACATTCATGCCTCTGCTTATGAAAAATCTTTCATTCAATTTCACTGGATGGTGTAAAACACAGAAATAAATGGAAGCTGGTCAAGTACATGTCACATAATTAAACATTGATTTCAACAGAACTAGACCATCTTACAGAACAGATGAAGACTTGGCCCAATGTGCTCTGATCTACTATTGTTGTGGGGTGGGAGGGGCAAATATTTAATAAATCTGAAAAATATTTTCCTTAACATCTTTTTTGGTGTATTGTTTATTTTAACCAGAAGTACAAAGGAGACATGAGCCCGAGAGGTATTGGCCCTACCAGCCCTACTCACAGACTTCCTGCTAGCTATGCTGGTGATAAATGGGGAAGTGAAATGTTAGCCGGGAGTTCTTCTCATGATGCCAAAGAACGTAGGTGCATAGTATCATGGTCCTTACCATTCACTGCAACTCCAGCAATGTAATATTGTTTCACAATATACGCTCCAAAGAAGTTGGCACTTCAGTTCTGGAACTTAGATTTAAACTGAGAATTTCCACCAATGTGTTCTTTCCTTTGTTTGCATTGGGATTTCTTCTTCTTTACTTACTTTTAGAAAAACATTTGTTTACTTGTTTTCTTAATCACTGTGTATACCTGCCTAAATCTATGCACCTAAATCTATGAAGTACCCAAACCAACATATGCACAGACAAGGGGCAAGATCTTCCCCCCACACAGACATGCACACACTCAGGCTTCTTTATGCCATATAAAAGTGCCAGTGAAGCACACAGGTAAGAGCTGTGGTTCTAGCCAAGGGAGGATTCCCCAGTGCAGTCACCATGGAAGACAGCCAGGAAGCTGTTTTTCAAGACTTCCTGTGCAAACCCTGTTCTAGGATGGCCACAGCACTGTTGAGATTCTGAACTATACTGTGCCCCATAGAGCAGCCCTGGGAAGGCTGCTACAAGTTACACAGGCCTGCCCAGGACTGTCCAAATGACATTCTGGGCCCCACAGCAGCCCAGAAATGGGAATTCACAGAGGTGGGAATGGGAATTCACAGAGGTGGCTTAAACCCACCTTACCCTCTGGGCTGCAAGGTGTGTGCTGTACCAGTCTCACTTCACTTGTGTTTAGATGTCTACTATGTGTTCATTCAGGCATCTACTATATGTTGCAGCAACCATATTTGCCCCCCCCCCATTTTTTTTTGCTTCTGTCTTTTACATATTTGCTGCTGTACAAAACCTGAAGTACTCAGCATACCCAAAGCATTCTGTGTGCAGCTATTACAAAATAAACACCCACTTGTCTTTGTTAATTGTCATATTTACAATGTTATCACTTTAAAAACATGCTGGACTTCGGTCTCCAAAAGGAATTACCCAGCCATTTGAATAGGCTGTTGCCTGCTGCAGTTTTAGAAGAACCCTAGCAATATCTCCTTTGAGGGGTAACCAGGCAGCAGCTGGGTGCTTGCTTTCCAGTACAGGCAGAGAGATGTGCTAGTGCTGTTCAAGCTAGTGTGCTGAAATAGCAACGTGGTCACTGTGGCATAGGCTATGGCTCAGGTAGCTAATGATGTTGACAATATGCCACGAAAAGTCTGTGAAGGGAAATGATAACACACTGGCTTGTGAAAAAGGTAACCTAGCTCTCTCAAAGAAGCCAGTGCTGGCTGCTTGAAGGACAGGAATGGCCAGTTCCCACTTTTCAGGAGTTTTCCTTTTCTCCCTACTGTAATTCTAGTCTACACAACCAACTTCCTTGTTTCTGCAGCCTGTGAGAAAATAAACCCCTCCTGGCCCCAACTCCCAGGGAACCAGCATGTAACCTGCAGCGCCGGGGGGGAGGGGGTATGGACAGGAGCTGGTAACTAGAACCGGTAAGCAGGTGAGGCTTACCAGTTAAACAGTTAACCTTTTAAATCCCTACTAGAAATCCCACCACAAGAATTCATTTAAATGAAAACAGAATACACAACCATTCAACTATTGCTACCACGTACAAAAATAAAGATCTCTCAGGTATTTGTTAGAGATACGTGGAGGGTTTTACTATATGTCCATGTGTCATTACTATCTAGTCCTAATATTGTAGCTGGGAGCTACATACCACAATGCCATCTCTGCTGTCTCCAGTCTCTCAGGATCACCAGCGACTTTCCAAGATTATCCAGTTAGCCTTGCTGGAGTTGCTTTACAACGGCTCTTGCATTGCAGGACTCATGGCAGCATGAACACAATACCAGTCCCCACCCACTCACTCATCTTAGGAGCAAGTAACCCCAGCACTGATCCTCAGCTAGCTTTTTGAAAACTGAAACCAGCCTAAAACTTACCCACAAGCATGTTCATTAAAGTTAATCATATAATTAAACTTCCCTGGTATTCTGTTGAGTATGTATTGTTATAGAGTTTATAGAACCGCAGAGCCAAATTCTGCCTTTACTTGTACCTCATTGATTTCCACTGGTCGTAACTTAGAACATAATTTCACTCCCTGATTTCTTTGTCATCTGAAAGTGTGCTCTGTTTCCAGAACTTATCCATCATATGGATGAGGTGAACGATGAGTTGCTGAAGAAGATCACAAATAGTAAAGTTCATCCCCCACAAAGAAACTTTAAAGTGGAGAAGACTCAGCAAGTTCTTGTGCCTCTGACATTTGAGTCAAGTGCTGAAGAGGTCAAAGCATGGCTGGAAGCAAATGCTTTTAGCAAAGGGTAAATCTGCTAACCTGCTATGTGAGATGCTGAGCTTTCATTGAAAAGGGGGAGCAGGGAGGTTTTTGACATTTGTCTTGGATTACAGGGTATTATATTTAATTTATAAAACTTGTAAGCAAGTGACATTTCTACCCTGCTCCTAATTTGCGATGTGAACAGGTAACTGGTTACCCAGTAATCATTACCGTTAATGGGTGATGCTTAACAGGTAATGGCCAATGGACTGACTGTAGCCTCGCATGGAGAGAGTGAGGAGGGGCAGAAGCAACAGTGGTGTGGAGGAGGGCTGCCCACGGTTGGGTCAGAAACAGACAGGCTTGAGCAGCTCCTGCCAGTGATGGGCTGCTCCAGCCCGACCGCGGGGGGCACTGCAGCCCCATGGGCCAGAACAGCAGCCCCAACCCGCCCGTTTAATCAGTTAACTGGTTAAACTTAACTTAGCATTAATTGCTTAGGCACTTCTTGAAAATCTCACTATACCTTAGCTATCTCTTTAGGCACCTAAGCACCTTGAAAAATCTGGCCTTAAGTGACTTGCTCTGGTGATTGCCTCTACAGTCTTGAACTGGATTCCAGCACTAGGCTGTAATTCCTAAACACCTCTTACCTAGGGATTATAATTAAGTATGTATCTAAATATGGTCTGCTAACTTTTCAGAATATTATTAAATATATGTGGAGGCAAAGCCTAATCTCAAATGTTTTTTGCTCCATTGAGTGGAAAGTGCCCTAGTAAGACAAACCATCACTGACTTCTTACTCCATTTTTCTCCTTTGGAACCTATCACGTGCTTTTCGTTACTTGTGTTTTTTCTAGGACTGTGGACCATCTTGGGATACTTACAGGGGCCCAGATTTTCTCTCTGAATAAGGAGGAATTGAAGAAAGTGTGTAATGAAGGAGCCAGGGTATACAGTAAAATCACAGTGCAAAAATCTCTCCTGGAGGTAAGTTTTCCTCACAAAACACTATTAGTATGGAACCCAGTGTCGCAAAAAGACTAGTAAGAACTATTAAACAAGCATTTTAAGGGTGGTTTTAATCAACCAAGGTAAAAGGTGTGCTGGGCACTCATTTAGCATAAACACAGTAGAAATCTTGTGAAGACTACATGAAAGAAACACTGGACCAGATCCTCAGCTAGTACAAATCAACATACTCTAATGAAAGAATCTGGACTGTTAATTTATACTCTCTCTCCTTGAAATTAGTTCTACTTTGAAAGCATTCTGTATCAAGCATTCTGTATCACTGATTTAAGTTAGGCTATAAGCCATTTTTTGAGGTTCAAACTCTTACATTTTGTTCCCTTTTCAGAAAAGCAGAGGGGAGTCGGAGCTTCAAGGAATTATGAAACGCCGCCAAGAGAGGAGTGATTCTGCTATTTAAAGTTCTATCTACTTTTTTCTCAACTATCAGTCATAGTAGTGCAAAAAAAGAAAAAAGAAGAAAAAAAGGGAACAGCAGCAATGATCCCCGATCAAAATGAGAGAAACTACAGAGACCATCTCCTAGCAGTGTAATTGCCATCAAACTGACAATTCCTTGAGCACTGTTGATAAGGAGGATACTCATTCGCTTATGTTGGGAGAGAAGTTTTAGTATTGCATGAAATATTTTTATATCTATCTATATATTTTATACAGAAATCTTGTGTATACAGTCCAGAGTATGAGCAGGATCTGAATTCATGGGATTCTAAGTGTATGAAGCCAGGCTGGATTCAAGTTTAAAAAAAGCCCCAAAACCTGAACTTCATAATATATTGCTATATGATATCCATTGACTTGATAAAGATCCAAAAAGACTGTTAGAAATAATGCTCCAAAGGACTGCTTGAATGCTTAGCATTTCTGTACCATAAGGACTAGAGCTTTCTCCCCCGTTTTTTTCTTCTTGTCTGTGACAAAGAAACAGCAACAATATCCTGAGTTTCCCTGTTCATGGAGACTCAAGCAGACCATTTCTTCCTTCTCTTCTACCCCATGCTCCTCCCAGCCCTTAAATATTTTAAAACAAAGGCCCAGGTCTGTCAGTACCTGAAGATGACAATATATAGCATATAACAGATTTTAGGATTGGGTCACCCTGTTTAAACATTCATACAATGCTACTTTAAATTGCAGGGAGTATTTTAATTAAACACTAAAGAGCAGTAATACCTTGAAATTATTTAGATTTGCCAATTGGGAAGTAATGCTTAGTCACATTTTCCCATACAAGGACTACTAGTGGATGGGGACCAGTGCAACTATGCAGCAGTTTTACGTGGCATTGATCCCAAATGTCAAACTATAGAGTACCGTCAAACCCAAGACTTCAACAAATCAGACGATAAACCCATACAACTTACTCCCAGTCTGAAATGCAAACACACACACAATCTACACATGCAATACTATGCCCTGCTTTAATAATATAACTGTGTTGCAGTATATGACACAAGTAGTGAATATTTAGGAACATAAATGGAAGATGGGATGGCCATTTCACACACAATAAAATCTTTGCAAAAAGTCTGAAAAATTACTTAAATACATTTGTTATGTTACTTTGTTTTTCCTAGCACTGACAGTGTTCAAGATTATGTATATGGATCGGTAAAGAAAAGATCCCTGCCCAAAGTAACATACAATCAAGTAGTTGTGCCGTGATAATTTATAACACATTTTAAATAAACAGAACAAGCATAAGCTGTATTTTCGGGGTTTTGGCATGTATAATGAAATCGACAAGTCTGAAGTCCACAAGACATACATCATTTCTTGACTTTTTCACCAGCCTTAGAGTGGAAAAGGCAAAAACAAAAATAAGTACAGGTACTGCTCATTGTCTGAGATGATAGTAATAACATTGGAGTTACTTTGATCTGCACTCTCCTTTATCCATGTTAGCTTTGGTTAATGTTAATGGAAATTCTGACCTTGAATTTGCAAAGACCTACACTTGTGTTTAGTTTACACACTATGAATTTACACACCTTTCACTTCAGTGGGAATACTCACAGTGCATTAAGTTAAGCAAACGCATAAACCTTTGCAGGAATGGGACCCAAGCTTGTTTGTTTAATTAAATACTTTTTGGTATGATTCATCATACTGAACTGTATGCACCTGTAAATGGAGGAGTAGGTGGGAAAGGTGGTTTCTATATTAAAGAACACCGGTGCATTCTTTGTTTTTACTAAAATGTTTATAATGGATGATTTCAAAAAAGCAAAGCCTTAGACAAGGCCATCTTTAGCACTAGTAGAGCTAAAAATCAAAGCAATAATTAGGGAAATCGTCAGTGCAGAGAAGGCACTAGACTGTGAGATATGTTCCTCCCACATCAGACTTTTCTTGCCAAGGTAGCTGGAACCTGAAAAGGGTACTGGGAGGAATGAAGGAGATCATACTTCTGGAGAGCCATCAAGCTTTTGACTGGAGTAGAATGAAAGCAAGCATTAATACTAGGAAATAAGGATGTACAAGGATAGCGGGTTAAATTAATTTTTAAAAAACTACAATAAAAATAAACCAAAAGGCAAGCTAAGAAGCATAACACACCATTTTTGTCTTTATGTATAAAGAAAAAAATATCAGTCACATTTACAGCTATTTGGATTTATATTAGCTGTCCATTCAACAGTTCTGAGAAGAATTGTTGCCAATCTTAGAGCACCTATTTAAAATATATGCTTTACTAAACCTCATCTTAGGTTTAGTTTACATATGAATGAGCTATGCATCTGACATATTTGTATTGTCTGCAGATAAAACTATAATGTACATGAATGTAACTGAACTAAGGATAAAATGATATAACCATGCACTGTTTATGATTTATTAAAATAGTTAAGTTATAACTACAACTTTTTCTTGGTTTTAAGTGGAGATAAGCAAAAACAAGAAAATTAGGGAGAAGAATACGACTGTTTTTTTCAAATGTTTTGTTGCAGTAAGCCTTTCAATGTACAAGAATAGATTTGGTAACCTGTTTCTTCTTGTTTCTCAGCAAGAAATATTCAAAAGTGAGACCACTACAGCATAAAAATCATTCAAAACTAGAAATGGGGCAAAACCTAGTCTGAAAGAGCCCAATTCTGGGAAAATTAGGATGTGGATCCAAACTTTGCAATTAGATACTTCGAGTTGAGGAATATTTTTTGCCTCTGGAAGAGGCAATTTGGAGAATTCAGTTGCATTTGCAAGTGCAGATCTTTCCTATGCAGCATTTCATAGATGCACACTGACATCAATGATGCCCAAACCTAGAGGAACATGGCAGCCAATGATCATATTCCTGTACTAAACCTGCAGATCTTGACAAGGAAACTGTGATCAATGAGGAGCGTGAAATTCCTACCAATATTCATAAAATTTGAAAATCTGAAAACACTAATGATTCTTTCACCGATATTCTTCTGTCTTGGACAAGGACTTGGTGGTTTATGCAGTGGCATATTCGAATACATCAGGCAGATTATGGGAAATCATTGTCACATCTCTCACATACAAGGCATTACAAACTAAAAGCAGGGGAAAGAATGATCACAATATCTAAGAGAGGAACCACAGCCAATAAGTTCTGCCTGTTCAATATTTTCTGCCAGTCAATAGGATGTGGAACATTACCAACACCCTTTTCTATTAAACTATTCAAGGAGCACAACACCATGAACTGGTCCTTTAATTATCTAACATTAGCAACATATGTAAAAATGGCTGAGTTTTATTAAAATTAATGGGTGTACTGATTAGGATGTTAAATACCATTTAATTGGTTAACCCATTAAATTTAATGTTTAACCAATTAACTGATTAAAGGGGAGGGCTCACTCCAGGCCATCCCCCTGCTTGCTGCAGACAGTGGCTGCTCCAGCCAGCCTAGAGCACCCCTGCCCACAGCATGCCTCAGAAGGGGCCTGATGCCAACAGGTTAACCATTCACATCCCTAACAATAGCTGTGGTCCAATGAAGAGATCCACAAGCAGAGCTAATACTTCTCTGCCTACAACTGTAAGGGAAATAGGGGTATGTTGCTACAGCTTCTTTAATGTCTTGGGCTAGTAGATACAGCCTGAATTTTACTTCACAGGTATTAAATAAATGTATACTGTCCACGTATATCAGATCAAAGGCAACCCTACACCTGCCTTCTTGTTCAATATTCAGCCTGTTCCAGCATGCCAATGGGGGAAAAAAAAGATAGCAACTACATCTGTCTGTGTCATAGAGATGCTCCAAACCCACACAGGCAGACAGAAAAACCCCTGTAAGGGTCAGCTGTAAAAGTGGCAGAGACCTTAAACAGGCCTTCAGTCTGTCTTTCATCATCTTGGCTCACTCAGGTCTGCTCTACAAGGGTAGGTCAAAGTAAGATACATAATTCCAGCTACGTAAATTATGAAGCTGGAGTCAATGTATCTTAAATCCCATCCCACAGTGGGAGGTCAACATGAGCAAACGCTCCTGTCGGCTTCCCTTACTCCTCGTGAAGAGATGGGGTACTGGCACCAATGGGGGCGACCTTTGAGTGTGATCTAGTGGGTCTATACAACATCCAGTAAATCAACCCTAGAACAGCAGTTTCCAAACTTTTCGGTATCATGCCCCCTTTTTGATTTTTGAGAAACCCTCACGCCCCTCCACCTCAAATAGCAGCAAAACTTGTTGAGCAAAAAAAAAAAAAAAAAAAAGGAACTGACCAGGGCAAAAAAACAAAAATAGCAGCAAAACTTAGGGGGTGAGGAATTGACAGCGAGGGTGGGGAAGGAGGGCTAGGTCACCTTGTGCCCCCCAGGAATTTCTCCATGCCCCCTCCAGGGGGGCACACCCCCCAGTTTGGGAACCCATTCCCTAGAAGATCAACAGTATCAATCTTCTGTGTAATGTAGACTTGCCTCACTGCCTTACGTTACCAGACACATAGGTTCACTCAACTGTTCAGTGTGCACCTGTTAATAACATGGCAACTCTGGTTTCTTGATTGATGTATAATCTTTCTCCAAACAACCTCTCAGGCACTAGATACTCACTGCTTGCTAATGAGAAAGTACATCAGCTTTCTCCCATAAGAGGGGTTGGGAGTGTTAGCCTTCCCAATTAAGGGGTATATTGATCGATCCAAAAAAGGGGCATTCAACCACCCTGGTGCAAAGGAAGGGAGGAGCTTCA